CTCTCATTCTCTCTCTCTCAAATAAATAAATAAAATCTTAAAAAAAAAAAAAAAAAGATTGTATTTGAACCATTAATCTGCGTACCACTGACTATTTCTTAGATTTCCTAAAGTGGAACTCATAGGGGAATGCATATAAACATTTTAAAATCTGTTGAAATGTACCACCAAATTCCTTTCCAGAAAGGATATCCAACCATACCCCCACTGCCAGGAACATATTTGAGATCAACTCTGTTTAGCACCTTGTGTACCTGGTCTTAGGAAGCTGTGAGGTCTGGCCCCTGGTCACTGGGAAGATGAATGTGCTGTCTGGGCTTTGCAATTAGAGATCAGGAAGAGCAAATCTTGGCTTAGAGATCAAAGATAAAGCAGCAGCTCCATATTCTAGGCTTACTCACTTAGTAATCACTGCACACTAAGATGGATAAGCCATTATCTGTCATGACAAAAGAAAGGGACCCCTGTATTAATGGGGTGATTTTGAGGTAGTGATTTGGAGTTGGGGCTCATAAGTAAGTGCCTATATCATAGAGCCAGTTTATTCTTCTGACATCACTGTCTCTAGAAGCTACCTTGAAACTCTTATTTTCTATTTTAAATCTCTCTAAATCTATCATAGGTCAAAGGCTACTGTTCTTTAATATGATCTTGGTGGAATAATTTGCCTTGACTCTGGTTATCCATTCTTGTATAATATTCTTGGCATGAAAATGTATTGTTCGTCATCACAGTTTGTATTTTTACTTGTATACCCTCATATATTAGAAAGCAAAAGACTTTTCTAGAGCTATGTCCTACATTCCTTCTCTCCTGGAGACAAGTGTGATCTGGGCTAAGGAAGTTGTATTTTAGATTCTCTGCCATGAGATAACCCTTTCATCTGTTTTTCTCTGTCATAGGAAAAAAACCGCAGTGAAGGCCGGCTCCTCAGTCTCTTGGAACAATCTGAGCACAAGACTGCAGGTGAAGACCCCAGGACCAGTTTTCTGAGCTTATGTCGCAGGCCTTCCAGTAAAAATAGCCACTGCCAATTCACTATTTGTTGGAGTTATGTGGGTGTACATTTGACCCATTAGCCAGACTTTGAGACTCAGTCTAGGTTATATCTCCCTGAAGATGGTAAGGACATACCCTGTATTGTTCATCATGTATTTCATTTCAGGCTTTATAAAGCCTGAATTTTTAGGAGTTGCTGTTAAGAAAAAAAAATTTCCAAATCACAAGGGAATGACACAAGCCCCAAATACCTTCCACAGAAACAGGCTTGGAAAACCAGACATGCAGACATTTCTTCCTCCTCCTATTGTTTTGTGCATCATTTGTTACTTTTAGTTCAGTGTCCCAGCCTACATTCCTGAGGGATTGTAGGAAGTAACTCTGTCTCTTTGTGCCTAGTATTTAGGGAACAGTAGAGTGGATTGGTTAAGAGCATTGCATAAGGTTAGTAATACCAACTTCATAGATTTTAAGGATTATATCTAGTAAAGTTCCAAACATATTCCCTGGCATAAGCAGGCTCTTGATAAATGTTAGCTGCTATGATTACTGTTGTTATTAGTTGCTGTTGTTAAAATTCACTAGATGCAGATGGAAGAGAAGCGTTTGCTTAAGTCTGGTGAGATTTGCTTACCTTCTAGTTGTAACAGTTCATTTCCACTAAGCAAATCTGTTTTGCCTTCTGATGACTATAAAAAGGCAGCGTCTCCAAGCCCTATAGCCTGCTGCCTCTAGATCAGCATGTTGTGAATCTCTGCAGGTGGCAGATTTCTCTTGGCAACTCCTTGTTCCTCAAGTCCAGATTTGAAGTAGATTATTCAGAGGTTGTTCATTCAAAAGTGTTCACCTTGATACTTTTGCAGCTGAGCCTGTTGAATGCTAATGCTCACATTTTATGGGTCTGGGGATGGGGATCTGTATAAGACTGATGAAAAACAGGGCCCAGAACACAGGAAGCACATGAGCAATGAGAAGTGGTAATGATTACAACACTATTAACATTATTACTTTTTCTCTCTCATTACAGATGCAGAAATAAAGACCAAGTCTTCAGAAACAGGAAGCTTCAGGTGAATTGGGGTATACATTGAAGTACGGCTGTCAGCAGTTCTAGAAAAGTGCAGGCCTGGTCCTGGGTTCTGTGTATAGTGTGATATTCAAACTATTGAAAGTAGAAATCACCATGGAACTGTGTGACCTCTCTGTGCTGCACCCCCCCGCCCCACCATATCTGGGCTAAGAATTAAATGGCTAGTTCAGTTTTATGGCGTTAAAACAGGCAGAGTGCAGAAGCTGTGACTTATTCTTCCCTCCTCACCCTGGTCTTCTGACCTAGATTTCAAGATGTTTGGGAATTTGGTAAAAAATAATTAAGGGGGAAAAAAAAAGGTTTGGGAATTTGGGTCTGAATTCTCATTCTCTCACTATCTAACTGTGTGGCTTTGGGTATATGATTTACCCAGTGTCCTTATCTGTGAAAGGGGGAATGATAGTACTTAATCTGGTTGGATTATTACAAAGATTATATGAACTAATAATGTGTGTAAAAGCCTCTGGTACAATGCATGACACATACTTATTGCTTATTAGTAGGTGTGTGTTGAATTCTGAATTTTTCCCCCTTCTTTCTAGGGTGCCCTCACCAGGGATGGAAGAGGCAGGCTGCAGCAAAGAGATGCAGAGTTCCCTTCCACATCTCGACTTAAACGAGTCTCCCATCAAGTCTTTTGTTTCCATTTCAGAAGCCACAGATTGCTTAGTGGACTTTAAAAAGCAACTTACCGTCCGGCCAGGTAGCCGGACACGGACCAAAGCAGGCAGAGGAAGAAGGAGAAAACCCTGAATTTCTAGGGTCCAGACGTTGACAAAACCATTAGCAATAGGGGTGGGCCATGGTCATTAAGTCTTAGTGGCCCCTGTTTCATTGTTGAGCAAGTTTTGGCCCTGCAGTTTTCACCACCAGCATCCACTCAGCATTCTCGTTTTGATGTTTTCTATAAGCTATACAGACGATTGTGTATAGTATTCTGTTTTATAATAGTCTGATTCACTTACAGTTAAAAGAAAATTTAAATATATTTATGTTTGTATGAAATCTTATTTCAATAAGATGAAGATCTTCCTTTTTTTTCTTCTGTGTTGCAGGGTTTGGGATGGGAATATTTAAATTGCGGAGCTAAATTACATCCTAAATTACATGTTTCCAAATTAATTCCATTACTGGTCTTTGACATACTGCCTATATTCACTGAATGTATAGTGCACAATTCTGAGCACTGTGTGGTTACTCCCTTCACCTTTTCTGACATCATTGTGGAAGACGCCAAGGCAAACTCCAACTTCTTATTTTGCTATCCCTACCATTCAGCAGCCTGTCACTTCATTTTGCTGCATAACCTAGTTAAGAATTCTCAGCCAGAGCATAGGACCTTTGAGGGATATCTCCTGCCATTCTTACCAGGAATTTGTAAGTGAATGCTCTGTTACTAGTTCCTATGCAATTATTTTTCTTCTAGATTAACCAGTGGGGATACCAGGCATATTCATCTATTAGAGCCAAGATTAGTTCTCTTGCTGTCAAAGGTCATAGCAGCAACAGGAAATAACTTCTATTTCAGTATATTGGTAGAGGAGTACACATTCTTGACCACACTGCCCAGGAGCTTTCACTGCAGAACAAGATGTGGTCTGTCTGCAGTGTACTTGCAGACTTCAAAGATGAGAGGGTATCGAATGGCAGAAGCAACTATCTGAGGGAGATGACCAAACAAGGACGTTAAGAAAGCTAGCTTTGGCTCAAGCTGATTTGAAGATGTAATAAAAGACTGTGGGAGGTGGCTGCCAACCAGGAAAGATCCTGGGACAGGATAAATAGGAACATCATTCAGACTCTACTAACTTCCAATTCATCAAGTTCAAAGTTACCTTTCTCTTGATTTTAAGATGAAAATGAGGTATGTGTTAGACTGGGAGGGGGTGGTCAGATAGCTGGGATGGAAGGCACTGCATAGGCCTTTAAAATAGTTTTCTTGCCTGTGACAATCCACACAAGCTCTTTGAGTTAAAGCAGGATGGCAGGCTCATGATTTCTTCCATGTTTTGGTGTTGGATGGCACCAACATTGTGGCCAGGATCACATAAATAATAGGTATTAATTTTTTGAGGAACTACTACGGTTTAGGTAATGTATGTACCTTCATTTAATCCTCACAGCAACTGTGAGGTAGGTAGTATTCTCCCTAATTTTCAGGTGAGGAAACAAAGGCTCAGGGGAATAAATAAAGCCACTTTTGGTGCATGGCAGTGAGACCACAGTGCCCCTCATATTCAGCCCTAAAGAAAATGCTTTATTTTGACTCTAGTATTGATTATTTTCCTTCTAACGAAAAGTAGTTTATTAGTAAGTTCTGTCCCATCAACTTCATTCTCACTAGTCTCTCTCATTAAATGGCAATTTATTGGAGGTAGAACATTATAAATGGGATAGTATGTTTATCTCTTTGCCTGAAGAGAAGAAAGGGAAAAGGCTGATTCTAGAAAGTGCAGTTTTTAGCTTAAAACTGGGCAATCTCCCTAGAACATGGCTTTGAAAAAGGCTACTTGTTTTTTTTTTTAAAGATTTTATTTATTTATTTGAGAGAGAGAGAATGAGAGACAGAGAGCATGAGAGGGAGGAGGGTCAGAGGGAGAAGCAGACTTTCTGCTGAGCAGAGAGCCCGATGCAGGGCTCGATCCCGGGACCCTGGGATCATGACCTGAGTTGAAGGCAGACGCTTAAAGACTGAGCCACTCAGGTGCCCTTGGAATAGGATTTTAAACTTTGCTTCTTCCCATACATTTTGTCTTTTATATTTGGAGTCTACTGCCAACTAACGGTTTTCTTCCTACCCCTCCCTTCCTCCTTCCCTCTCTCTCCCTTACCCACCTTCCCTCCCTCCCCCTCTCTCTCTTTCTTCCTTTCTCTCCCTCCCTCCCTCACTCCCTCCTTCCCTCTCCCCACTCCTCCACCCATCCTCCCTCCCTCTCTCTCCCTTCCTCCCCTCCCTCCCTTCCTCCCTCCCCCTCTTCCTTCCTTCCTTCCTTCCTTCCGTCCTTCCTTCCTCTCTCTTTCTCCCTCCCTTCGCCTCCCTTCCCCTCCTTTTTTTGTTGAAAGTGTTGACTCGGAGACAAAAAGAGGCCAAGAGCAAGAGTGACAGTGGGACAGCTGTCCAGACTTCCCTAGACATTGACAAGTAAGTAGGTAATGCTGTGTTCTTGGAGCTCTTTTAACATACCATTGTTTGGACTGAATAAAGAGACCCATTCCTCTCCTACCCTGGTTTTCCAATCACTTCATTGCTTTGATGTCTGAATTTATTTTTCTTATTCCCAATTTATGTCAGTGCAGGTGGCCTCTGTATCTTTTTTAATTACCCTAAAAAAGTCCTGCCACCCATTCCATTTCTTCATTGCTCTTAGCTTTCTGTTTTCTTTGAATTTGTGTATTGGTATTGGGTACTTTGGGGAAGCAGTGAACTATTTTGCGGTATAATAGTACAGAAGTTGAGTTGCAAAAGGTTGGGCAACATAGGTGACTTCCTTGGGTTGTGGGTTGCAGCTTGACTAAGAAAGTACATTCTAAGGGGTGGTTGGGTATAAGTGATGCCTTCTGAAAATAAAGACATTACCAACACAACGTTAAATCAATTAGTCATTAGGCAGAAATGTTTATCTTTGAAATACAGATTTTAGACCCTAAATTTCATGCCTGCTTTCTGTAATCCAGTTGAGCAGAGCTGATCACTTGTTCCTTTTGGAATCGTGTCATGTGGACATTTGTCTAGGACTGTATTCATCGCACCATATTGCAGTAATTTTTTTTTCTTTTTTGATATTTCTGTCTTCCTAGGTAGACTGTGAATTATTTGAAGGCAGATACATGACTTCATTCATGTTTATATCCTCAGCATCTAGTAAAATGCATCTGAGAGAGCAGTAACAGTAATAGCTGTTTGTCGAACACCTAATGTTATATACCAGCCACTGTGCTAAGTGTTTGATTTACTTTGTACCTCTCACAATAGCTGATAAGATAGTTATTCTTTCTTTTTTTCTTCCTTTCTTCCTTTCTTTCTTTCTTTTTCTTTCTTCTTTCTTTTTAATAGATAAGGAAATTGAAGGGAAATTATAAATAACTGGTTAAGATCATGTGGCCAGAACTGGCAAAGCCTACCTGACTCAAAAACTTAAGCTCCTTCCACAGTGCTGCTGTCTCACATGTAGTAGGGGATTAATATATGATTTTTGCATTAATTCATAAAATTTTAAAGGTACACTGGTCTAGCTTTTCTCATAAGGCAGTTTTTTGCTCCTGTTTTTGAAGACCTCCAGAGAAAGTTTTCCTTAGAGCTAATTCAGATCTCTTTTGCTGTATAGTAACTGAATAGTAATGGCCAGAAAGAGAAGTCTAAAATAGCAAGCTTTGGAAAGTTGTCTTTAGCTTCTTAAAACTAAGTTGATCTTAAGAATCAAGCAGACCTGGCTTCTGAATTTATTAGGTATAGGACCTTGGGGAGAATAGTACCTTCTTAATAGGGCAAAAGAATTAATTGAGAAATTGTGTTTAAAGGCCTTTGTACCAGTTCTTACCACAGAGAAAATACTTAATGAATGTTCATTTTCTTCCTTTGTCCCCTGTGATTCCATTTTCACTGATGCCCAATAAACCTTATTTCAAGGACACAATTTCCCCTCTTTCTACAGATTCTACTGTTTTAAAAAGATAAAAATAACTATGTATATGAAGTTGCGCAAAAGCCTCTGGCAGAACCACATGGTTTTGGTAACTTCCTAGTTGATCTTGCAGGTTGTAGAATTAGGGAAGTCAGCATACAGACATAATTTACTAATCAGACAAGTTCATCCACCCTGGTAAAAATGTCATCTTGATTTAATGCTCTTGGTGTTCCCCTTTCGGTCTAAATTTTAACTTTCCTTTGAAAAAACTATTACACTTAATTTCAGAAGAGTTTGACAGAATATTTTATGTCTGAAGAGCAATCAGCATTGTTTGAGATAGTTAGAAGAACTGATTTCATTACCATCCCACTGCTGCAACAGCAGGATACGGAGAAACAGCCAGGGAAAACTGCTAATCACTCAGTCCTTTTGATTGGCGTAGGGTTAGTTTTATTGGTGATCCCGCTGAGCGAATCTGCATTGGTTGACATGTCTCCTCCACAGAATAACGTAAAAACACAATTGAGAGAGTAACATAAAAACACAATTTGAGATATATCCAGGAGCCCAGAGGCAAAAGCAAATCTTAAAACTTAAAAGCAAATCTTAAAATATCTAAAAACTTTCTCCTTTCTTCTGATTGGCTAGGAATGAGAAGTGTTATCTCTGTAAATCCGTGGTCCCATTCAGAGAGTACCAGAGTCATGTAGAATCCTGTCTCCAGCTTGCAAGGGGTGACCAAGGAGCTGGGCCTGAAGAGAGTGGGAAGGTATGCTCAGCTATGGAGGAGAAGCAGCAGCAGCAGCTGAGGAACCCAAAGGTGTGTATGGAATGTTTTACCCACCTTCCCTCCCTTTTTTTTTTTTTTTTGCTTTTTTTTCCCTAGCTTCTTCCTTTTCTGCTTATCTAGAAACAAGATTTTGTTTTAAAATTATATTTTCTTTTAATTAAAAAGTAATACATGCTCACTGTAGGAAATATAGGAAATTCCAAAAAAAGTATAAAGAATCGGGAAATTATCTCCCACAATTTAGCTACTTAGAGATAACAACTTTTAGTATTTTGGCCTATTTTCTTTTTTTTTCTATGCATTTTTAATGTAGTTGAGACCATATGTATGTGTGCGTGTGTGTTTGTGTGTGTGTGTGTGTGTATAAACTTAACATTATAGCATAGACACCTTCCTGGGTTTATTTTCAAACTTTTTAAAAATTACTCTTAATGTTTGTATCACACAGAAGTCATTTAACCATTCTCATATTATTGGACATTCAGGTTCTTTCCAATTCTTTTGTATTATAAGATTGTATTTGGGGCGCCTGGGTGGCTCAGTTGGTTGAGCGACTGCCTTCGGCTCGGGTCATGATCCTGGAGTCCCGGGATCGAGTCCC